GTGTGTGTGTGTGTGTGTGTGTGTGTGTGTGTGTGTGTGTGTGTGTGTCTGGCGTGTACATAAGAAGAAACTGCGAACATTACAAATTGTAAAATGATCTCATCTCTTGTTTTAGTAAGAGCTTTACGGCACTTGCTACACGATAAAGTCATATAAGCGCCGAAGATTAGAGGTGTTACAAGAGAGTAACAAACACAAAAAAGAAGGAGGAGAGATAAGGGCGACAGATGTTTGAGAGGAAAGAAGAAGAAAACCACACCAGGGCACCCGCCAACCACCCACCATCTCTTGTTCCTCCTTTCTTCTTTTAAAGGAAAGATATAAAAGAAGTTATGTTTAACCATCAAGCATAAGGCTAATGTCAGAATAAGCATCAACTTGTATTGCTCTTTCGAGAATGTATCTATAAAACTGTGAAGGTCTTGTAATGAAATTCCTGCATATTGTGGTTGAATGATGGGGTATAATGTACATTTTGTCAGCTTCACTTCTCTTTTCATACTGCATTTTAATGGGAGTAATATATATAATTAACATTGTAATGTATACCTTCATGTGTTTTTACGGTCCTGTACAGCCAAAAAAATTCCCCTATGAGATAATAAAGTATGATCTGATCCTATCCCATCTTCTCTTCTCTTCTCTTCTCTTCTCTTCTCTTCTCTTCTCTTCTCTTCTCTTATCTTATCTTCTCTTCTCTTATCATATCCCATCTTATCCTACCTTATCTTATCTTATCCTACCCTATCCTATCCTATCCTGTCTTGTCTTATCTGATCTGATCTGATCTGATCTATCTCATCTCATCTTATCTTATCTTCCCTCTTGTACAGAACGGCGCAACAGCCTGTACCCGCCAGCAGCGACTACCACGGAGAGACGTGCCAGTCTGATAGGGGACGTAGTCTACTCACAGCCGGTAGAGAAGGAGGGAGCCAGCCTTGCTGAACTCTTGAAAGGTATTGCTATTGAGCAAGATAGTACTAATCTTATGTGTAATATTATTATAATATGATACTAGTAATAATACCAATAGAAATACTAATAATGATTGTAGTACTATTGCTAATACTAATAATAACAAAAACAACAACAGTAATAGTAATAATACTAATGCTAATATTACTACTACTAATGA